TCTGGATCCAATGTCCTTTTTATTATGCAAATGTCTTTTTCTGAAAGAAAAAAGAGATCTATCTGTACATTTTTTTCTTTTATATATTGCCTTTCCAGCATATAATGCCTCCAAATGGTTCATAGTACACACATATCAAAGGCAATTTGAGAACAAAAGTGGTAAAGAAAATAAAAATACCATGCAACAGCAGCGATATCAAAACAGAAACATCAAAAGCAGTTAAAACCCAGTTCAAGTTAAAATCAAGTTAAAACCCAGTATTCTATAACCATATTCAGAAGATCTGCTGAATAAAATGTGTTTTAAAAGGCTCTGCAGAGTGTGTAAATACTGTCAGGTTGTCTACTACACAACAGACTTCTTGGGCAAGGGATACAGAACAGGTACTAGCAAAAATGTGTTATCAGAACAGGGTATGCTTTAAGATACTGCCACTTTGCTCTGGGGTAAAACCCTCTCTGGAGTACCTAATACTCAAGCGGATCCTCATGCAACTCAGTCAAGGAAAGTATAACTTGATTAGCACAGCTAGTGGCTAACTGACAAAACATGATTGTGACATAAGGCTGCATTACATCTCATATTTATGCTTGCAATTTATAGTACAAAATAAATATGTGCTTTTGTATTCATAGACTTTTTGTGATTTCTTTTATAGAAATGGGGCATTTTGGGGACAGTTTCACTGTATATAATTGCAAAATATGCTTGCAGAATTCAGCTTTAATAAAGATGATCGGCAAAAATGAGAGGATTTTAGCAATATGATATAGTGCAACAGCAGATACTTCCAGTCTCTTCCATTCAAGGTGCTAATCAGACTATGACTTGCATAGAGACTAAGATTACATATACCCTTGCAAGGATTGTCACTGAGCAATGAAGTAAAATGAAAAATCACTTCTTACAGTCTCAACAATCAGTTTGAAGTTAGGTTCAGAGAGTTCATGTAGAATCAAATACCCTATTTACCTGAAAGAAAGACTGGTCTTTTTTCCATGAGTGCTGTCAAGAAAAATAAGGAGTTTTTAAATTCTTACATAAATTACAGGTAAGTAAAACAGTAAAAAGCTTTGTTTATAACCTTTTAAAGGTGGGTGGTCTTCCTTTTGGGTAACTTTAGGGGCACTTTTCTCAAGCTAGAAACTGCAGTATCATCATGTTTCCAAGATTAGCTTCTTTTCAATACGCACTCAAACTTAGCAAGACACAACAAGAAAAATGTGGTGCTTTTCTACTGGTTGGAGCTGCTGTTTAATATTGAACATTCAAAAAAGGAGCTTAACACACCAAAATATCTTAGAATATTTCAGTCAAAACAGTTTTCCCATACAGATATAATTTCTGTATGGAAAGCTATTGATGCTTTCATGTGTTAGAATGTGTTCATTTTTATGTCCATCTCTAAAGGAGTAGCATTTCCCCAAAGGCTAAAAGAAAAGTGATGCCCAGACCATGTATTTTAACTTGTTTTCCACAAAGATGGTTACAATAGGCATCTTAGGATTCTGTTCGGATACACTGTAAGCATGTCAAGGTAGATGTAAAGGCCTTAAAAAGAAATGAAATATTAGGATGGAAAACTTCTTTGACATCTCTGGTTTTTCTTTGCTAGCACATATAACACAGCATAAATCAATACAACTGATAAGAAAACATAATACATAGATGTTAAACAGTTTGCAGCTAGTGATTATTATAAAAACCTAGCTTCTTTTTATACTGTGGTTTAATGCATTTTCATCAAAGCAGGTAACAACTGTCAGCATCCAAGAGGTTCCATAAATGCTTGCTGATATCATGAACTCTTAAACATTAAATAAAAATAATCAAGAGCAACCAGCACACATGGTGTATTTGTGAACTATTACGATGCATGAAACTTTAGGAGACAGGAGAAGGGAAACAACAACAAATCGTTTCCTCTTTTCTGAGCAGAGGAGATAAAACCTAACATTTTCTGGTTAGCCATGGTATCCATTATCCTCTGAATTGCAATGCCAAATGTCTTTCTAACTTGAACTCAAGAGGCCATGCAGGGCTGTGTATCACTGTATTGCTGTCTGCTAATTTCTCTTTGAGGCCCCGTATTTTTTTTTAAAAAAATCAAGACCTGCTGATTTAATTTAGGATCCAGATCACGTTACCTGCCTACTACTGCAGTTTCAAATTTATTTAGAGGTCAAAACCATAATGTAAGGTGTCGCCTTAAAGTATTGGAGAATATGGTTAAAAAGTACACAAAATGCCACATTCTGGAATAAGGTATTTTGTGTTGCAATCATGGCCATTTTCCAGTTCTTTATTCCAACCCATAAGAACCAACAGAAAGCATGCCAAGGATCTCCATTTTTCATGAGGAAAAGGAACGGATCTTTCAAAAGAGATATGGCAATACAGAAAAGATAATACAACTGATATCAGAAATAGGCACAAAACTGAGGCAGTAAAATTCCATCAACATCCATCAAGGTATTCTGGTACATTATCTCCAAGCCTCTATTAGCCTTTGCTGTGTCAGTGCAAGTCCTGGACACTTTATCCTGTTTATAATTGCTGATGAGCAATAATAAGGCTTCTATGCCTCAGCTCCTGTACGTTCCACTTCACTGCCCACCTATTAGGTAATAACTTTTATTTACAGCCTTGCTTGATGTGCTGTTCTATTAGTACAGCTGAGAACTGAGCAGGGTAAAAATGTGTCATTAATGGGCACTGTCACTGCCAGGACTGATGATGTACAGTGTACCTTTGTGAGTGTTCTATCATCCAGTGAGAAGGCCCTAGGATGGCTGGATTCATAACACAGTGCCCTCCACCAGTCAAACACTAAAGGGCACCTTAAAGGTCAACTGAAACAACAAAACCATCTCAAAGCTTTAAAGCCTCACCTTTTTTATGTTGTTAGCACAGACACTATACCACTGCAGAACAGACTATCTAATTAATGGCAGGACCAGAGCTTTTTTGTCCTTGCTGGACACCTTATGCATGATTAAAAGAAAAAAAAGTTTATGAAAGCAGAAGTTCAGTGTACAGCCAAGAACAAGCTGTTGGATTTGGTATTTCTACTGTACTTGTTTTCTGGCATTTCCAGGCAAATTATTGCTCTTAGAAGAATGAAAGGCTCAATCACAGCTGCAGGCCATACTGCCTCCCCAAATTCCGCAAAGCACAACTCAAGAGTCAGCCATTCGGCCTTGCTCACTACAGTGGAACTGTATCATGCACACTCAACAAAATCATGCTGAACATATATAAACAAGATGTAGCTGGCTTATACAGAGAATAGCTCAGTTTTGCTTCATCTGACTGGAAGCAGCTCTCCCAGGTGTTAAGCAGAGGAAGATTTCTCCCAACACTGACTTCCTGAGATCCTTTAACTGGTGACACCAAGAACTGAAGTTGGGATCTTTTCCAGGGAAAGTATATGGACATATTCATTGCCTGGCTGGAACTGTTAATTGCAAAGAGTAGCTGCAAATAAGGTATTAGTAATATCATATTACCCTAGCTGTAAAGGGGGGCAAATTGCATGTACTCATGTTTATAGATCATGTAACAACTTTGGTTTGTGAACAAAACCAGTTTTGGAAGGAGTTGGTGATAAAATGTACATCTAGGACTTCGTAAGGAAAAAGCACTCCGATGGATGGGAGCTACACTGAAAAAATGATGGGCTGGAAAAGAGAAGTACTCCTCCCTCTCCTTTCTTAACCAAAACCCTACTTCACATTATCCAAACATAAATGAGAGACCTAACACCAACACAAATATAACAGTTTTTGAAAGAGGGCAGACATGAATAAGGAAAATCCATTTAATGCCTTATAATGATCATGCTAGAAAAAAGAAACAGGTGGAAATGCACAAAGGATAGCAACAAAATGTTCAAACATCTTTTAATACTGGAAAAACTTGAGACTTTGTTAGTTTTGAAAGAAAGACAGTTATGATACCAGACTACTCAAATACACACAATAATGAATGGATCTGATGCAGCAGAAAGGAAACTAGCTCATGAAGCTGCCTTTGGTCATAGTCCATCAAGGTCAATATTGTCTACTTAGACTTGCAGCAGGTCTCCAAGGTCTCAGGCTGAGGTCTTACACATTAACTAATTCTTTTAACTGGCAATGCTGGGGAATGAACCTGGGATCTTTTGGGTACAAAGGAGATGGCCCATCTCCTTAAAGGGTGATTTACCTTTTCATATAACACTAGCTAAAAGTCAATCCTCTTCCCACCATAAAAGGGATACACAGCCAGGCAACTGATCATCAACTATGTCAGCTCATCTCTTTTGCTGAGCAAAAGCTGCTCTAGATGGCTCCGTTTTTACTACCCTGGGACAGTGAAAAATACCAGCAATCTTGGAAGGAAGGATAGAGATGACCACAAAATCCTATTATGGTGCATTTTTCAATTAAATCAAGTCTAAACAGTATTCACATCTTCAGTTGTTCCCAATTAGTTCCCAGGCACAATTTCAAAGTGTGAAATCTGAGCCATTTGGAACCATGATAGATCTGAAGCTCTACATTCTCTCCTATGAATCTGCCCATTCTCCATGATCAATTTCAAAGACCATGGTACAGTTGCCCTACCACTGTCCAGTGATTAGGTAGGCTGCAACCAGAGATAAGGTCTTTAACGTGGTGGCACCCCAGTTATATATAATATATCTTCAAAACACTGGCATAGTTCCAACTTTATTCTTTTGATGCCACAAACACTATCCCCTGCCATCCCTTTTGTTGTGGATTTGATTATTTTATTTTTATTGCTGATTTTAATGATTTCTTGTTCTAGTTCTCATATTATAATGCATTTTGAGTTTGCCTCTGTTAGCCACTTGGGATGTTTTTATGATAAAGGGAAGGATTAAAATGTTTTGAACAAATACATGCTGTAGTCCTGTAGACAGAGAATCCATGTTAATCTGTTAGTTCATTTTTGTTGCATTCACAAATGCAGCAAGTTTCCTTATGACCCCAAGCTTCACCTGTGTTATGTGCCTGAGCTTTAAGACATCTCCCTGGATTGTATTAATATTAATAAAAGAACTGCTCTTAATTGGTTTTAGCTTTTATCTCATACTTGGGACAGGATGCAAGATCCTGATAATGTTAAATCCTAGTTAACAGGACATATTTTACTTTAATTTTTGCATAAAGCCAGTGAAAACTCCACTTCAAATGAGGCTACTTATAATCAGATTGATTCCAGGGTTCTCGATTACCTCTACAGTCTACACAGCCAAATGCACAACCATATTCAGTGCCACAACTTACCAAGGCTTGTTCTTAATTCTCAGACTTAAATATTGGTCTCTTCTAGAATACATAGCTCCCCATAAAAAGAAAAATTTACCTGAATCGCAAGATCTTTTGGTTGGTGTGGTTAAGGAGACATGAGCTGTATCTGTGCATGGCCCACCTAGAAACAGAAAAAAAGTCAGTTTCAAAAAAATTCCTTCTTCATTTCTATGCAACAGAGCTTAATTCCATGATGCATAGCTAATGAGAGCTTGCATTACCCACATACAAATTTAATGGATGAGCCAGTTCAATGGAAATACAACATAGTTCTCTATTCCTCCCCCATGCCTTATTTTCTTATTCATCTTTACCTTTGCTATGATGTAAGGGATCATGAATTTAGGTCTGTGAGCCAAAGAGGGCTTTAGGCTTGTTTCCCCCCGGCTAGTGTCCAACTGTTTTGAAACTGAAGGGAGTTTCCCCAGGAGTCTAGGATGTAAGGGTTTTTTTTTGGGGGGGGGAGAGTAGAAGTTTTCACTGGACTAACACAAACACCTTGGATAAGTCTAAGCAATTCTTTAGATCCCACATCCTATAATGAGGTCTTAGGTAAGAACGTTGAAACAAATAAGCAAACTAGAGTAGTACATTATTAGAATTATTTTTTGAAAATGATTTATTGTCAGTTAAGTTATGAATGTCTCAGTATTGTTGAACGATACACGATCATGAAACCTTGGCACCTGTATTTGGTTGGTGATGCGAGACTTAACAAATTCCATGATGGAAGAAAGGTACAAGAAGTCTGATAAATAAATCAAATGTTATACAAATGAAGCATTGAACTTGAATAGTTATTCCACTGCTTTCCATTTTTAGAAGTTAATTTGTCTGCTATAAAAAGTTATCCTTGAAAGATGTAGTTTTAAACAGCATATATAAGATTATATATTTTCTTATAAGTGCCACTTCATCTTTTCTATTCTTACCCTGCCCCCTATAATTGTGTTACCTCTCTTAGCATTATGTATCAGGGAGAAAATGCAATGTTCTAGTCATCTGGCAACTGCTGGTCCTAACTTCTTGGTTTCTTGGCCACCCAATAATTGCTTCCTGTATCACAGTAACACACACATACATATATACCTGTGTACCTAAGATGAAATAAATTGAAAACAAATGTAAATGGCAATAACACTATGCTGCAGCTGTGACATCTGACTATAACCTTATGGCATAAAATTATGTAGTTTATGTAACAGGTGGATACCTACACACCAATAATTGAACGCAAAAGAGTTCTGCAAAACTTTGCTTCTAGATGTATAGATGGGCTGTTTACTCAGCAGTTAACTGTCCAATACACGTGCATCCAAAAACCAGCCTAGCTGGCAAAGCATACTACATAAGTGCAATTCAGGAAGTTGCATGTTCAAATTTGACTTCAGTCATTAAGTCACTATGTGGCTTTAGGGTCAAAGTCTGTCATGACAACCACCACAATTCTCTCCCCATCAGTTCATAAAAGTAAGTTTTTTGAGCAGCTCTGATTCAGACTGGGGACACAAGAAAGGAAGGGGCAGATTTAACCTTAAATCGCCAACTGGTTTTGCTAATTGAAACCAGCCTCCCTGGTCTATTAGTAATTTTAAGGGAGAAAAAAAGATGTGCCTTTCATCTTTCCCCCTTTATAATGCTAACAATAATGCAATGGTTAAATTTTCTCTTCCCCTCTGACTGTGTGAGCAATTAACATTTTACAGATTAACAGAGATCCATGAAGTTCCCAGTGTCTGTTTTGGCTCACAGGCCAGCTTCTAATCTTGGTCATACCAGGGCAATACTGCCTTACCGTATAGAGTTGCTTCAAGGTTTAATGAAATAATATGTACAAAACCTTTATAAACACTTTAAATCAATCTAAATAAGTGACAGGTTTTCTTAGATGATGCTTCCATACTGGACCCCTTCCAGTCTGGCTTCTGCCCTGGCTATGGGGTGGAGACTGCGCTGGTCGCTCTCATGGATGATCTCCAGAGACATATGGATCAAGATAAGTCCGCTCTGCTGTTGCTTTTAGATCTGACAGTGGCATTCGACACGGTCGACTATGACCTACTGACCCACCGCCTTGCTGACACTGGGATATGGGGGACTGCTTTACAGTGGTTTTCCTCCTTTCTCCATGGTCAAGGACAGAGGGTGGTGCTAGGGGGAGAGGATGTCTATTCAGTATCTACTGAAATGCGGGGTGCTGCAGGGGGCAATCCTCTCCCCAATGTTATTTAACATCTACATGTGCCCCCTTGCCCAACTGATCTGGGAATTTGGGCTGGGTTGTCATCAATATGCTGATGACACCCAGCTTTACCTGCTGATGGATGGCCGATGGGACTCCAGATATTTTGGACCAGATGTTGGCAGCTGTGGCTGGACAATTGCAACAGAGTTGGAGGTCCTGTACCTTTGGGGGACTTGGAATTAGGCTCCAGGTCATGGGTGCCAGCGCCGAGGGTAAGGAGTCTCGGGGTGATGCTGGATTCCTCACTTACCATGGAGACCAAGGTCACTTTGGTAGTCAGATCAGCTTTCTATCGACTTCCGGTTTTTGCTCCCTCAATGGCGGTCGTGTTCTCCCAGAGCTCCGGGAGATGCGTGCCTTGAATCGACGGATGGGAGGGGGTGCGATGGTACGCATCCCCCCTGGAGCCCTTGCATTGGGCTCCTAGCCATGGGGCACTTGGAGGGCCCTTCCTCCAGCAAACAGCCAGCGAAGGGGGGCCGATCCCTGCCCCGATGGTCCCACCACTGATTTCCAGAAATGGACACGGGGACGCACACCAGGACAAGTGCTTGGTGGCCGGGCAAGTTAATCGTGAAATACGAGTTCTATGCTGTAATGTGAATGATTGTATAAGCGAAGACACCAGAAACTAAGCTGAAAGCCTCCCCTTAACAAAACGAGGGGGGAACTCCCCCTCAAAAAGAAAAAAAACTGAACTGTTAAACGAAATTATGGGGGGCGGGGCGGATTATAAAACGGAATTACACTATAATAAGGAACTTTTGAGAATTTACCAAGCATTTTTAAAGAAGCTTGCGACTTTGATAACTTTTTCTAAAAAGTAAACAACTCTCAAACATGGTGCCTCCGAGGAGGGAGGAGAAGGATAAGCAACCGAAACCGAAGTTCCCTGCCGGAAATGCCAGTCCAGCGAGTTCTGTTCCTAGACAGGACACTACCATAGACTTCCAAAGTATGCTGACTGAGGCTTTGTGCCCTCTGCTGGAACAAATGACATTGCGCCATAAGAAGTTTGATGCACAACAAAGCCAGCTGAATGAAACTACCAAAAAGACAGAGAAAATGGAGCAAGAGCTTAAAGAAGTGGATGCCAACACCCAGAAGCTTAAAAAACAAATGCAGGTGATGGAAAAAAAGAAACCAACTAATGAGGCTCAACTTTTACAGCTGCAAATGGAAAAGGCAAGCTATGTCTTAAGATTCCAGGGGGTCCCTGAAGCAAAAGGAGAAGACTTGAGGCAAATTATGTGCGATGCATTGGGTCTGGTTGCAGATTTAAAAGCGGATTTTTTACAAAACGAAATAGATACGATCTATAAGTCATATTCTGGCTATATAAGAAAGAATCTGCCCGGCAAGATTGGGGTGAGATTATCCAGGAGACAAGTAAGAGACCAAATACTGAAAGCAACAAGTGGAGCCATCCTGAAAATCAAAGACAAAGAAATAAGAGTTTTAAAGGACATTCCATTTGAAGTAAGGAAAAAGAGAAAGAAATTCAGAGACTTGGCGCTGTTCTTACAGAAAAACAATGTCCCCTACAGATGGAGTGTTCCAGAAGCCATGCTCTTCAAATTTAAAGACAAGAAAGAAAAAATTGACTCTGTTGTAAAGGCACGCGAATTTCTACATCAACATGCCAGTCCAGCAGGTGAAGAGGATAAAGATGAAGATGGCAGCAGCTAGGGACGTGAAGAAGAAGGAGCACTGGCACCTTCTGATGAGGACTCAGTTTCTGAACGTGGGGCGGCTGCCCCTAAACTAAGCTATCGATTGAGAAACAAAAAGGATAAAAATGAGTTTTGATTGCTCTCTAGATTCTGTTTTAAATGAATTTAAATCATTTCTCTACAGAGTTCTTTATATAGTCAGATTTGTTGGAGATTTTAGTACAAGCAACAAAAATTGTGTACTTACTTAACGTAGCAAAGTATAATCTTATTTAACTAGAAGCTAATTTTGTAAGCATTGTGTATGACCACCATCTCTTGGGTTTTTAGTGGTTTTTCTTTACTTTCACCCGTAGTTTGTAGTTACCTTTCCTTGTTTCTTTGTAGTTTATAGAAAATGCAATTAAAAAATCAGCCTTCTATCATCTTCAGCTAATCAGGCAACTAGTTCCCTATCTTGCCCCCCCCCCCCCGGGACCTAGCTACAGTGATCCATGCAATGGTCACTACCAGGTTAGACTTCTGTAACTTGCTCTACACAGGGCTGGCCTTGAGCTTGATCTGGAAATTGCAGCTAGTGCAGAATGCGGCCTGGGACCATCATACCTATAGGACCACCTCTCTCCATATGGGCCCTGGAGAGCTTTACACTCTTCTGACTAATATGTCCTGGTAGTTCCTGGCCCGAGGGACATTTGCTTAGCCTCAACCAGGGCCTGGTGGAACATGCTGCCATTTGATATCAGGGGCCTGCAGGACCTAGCACAGTTCTGCAGGGCCTGTAAAATGGAGCTGTTCCACCAGGCCTTCAGTTGAGGAGGTGGGCGTTCAATCTATTCTGCCCCTTCTGCCCCCCATCCTGTTCACAGTGTTGTCCATGACCTTTTCTCAGTACTTTACTGTTTTGGATATCATCTAGGCACTGGAGTCTTTTGGAATGATCACTTTATAAGGTATGGGATCTGATTTACTGTTTTTATTGTTGTTGTTCTTATGTTGTGAGCAGCCCTGGGCTGATTTTGGGGGGTAGGATGGTTTTAATTAAAAAAATTAATGAATAAATAAATAAGGATAACACAGTCACTATTATACCTCTCTTTCTAGTTTTAGAAAAGACCTATACATTATACTTGATATAAGAAATGGCCCTACGTAACTCATCACTGGTTGGCATATACTATTTCCTAGTCATATGGGCATCTC